CATCATACTTGAGTGAGGCCTTGAGGGGGAAGAGAAGCCGGCAATGACCAGAACACAGGGCAGTACAGAGATGGGAGTCAGAGATTAGGGAGCTGGAGGGAGGCAGGCTTTTTTCCAGCTGGTCACTGGGATGCACAGCTGGTCACTGGGATGCGTAGCTGGTCACTGGCATGCGTAGCTGGTCACTGGGATGCGTAGCTGGTCACTGGGATGCATAGCTGGTCACTGGCATGTGTAGCTGGTCACTGGGATGTGTAGCTGGTCACTGGGATGCACAACTGGTCACTGGGATGCACAGCTGGTCACTGGGATGCACAGCTGGTCACTGGGATGCGTAGCTGGTCACTGGGATGCACAACTGGTCACTGGGATGTGTAGCTGGTCACTGGGATGCACAGCTGGTCACTGGGATGTGTAGCTGGTCACTGGGATGCACAGCTGGTCACTGGGATGCACAGCTGGTCACTGGCATGCGTAGCTGGTCACTGGGATGCACAGCTGGTCATTGGGATGCGCAGCTGGTCACTGGGAGGCACAGCTGGTCACTGGGATGCGTAGCTGGTCACTGGGATGCACAGCTGGTCACTGGGATGCGTAGCTCGTCACTGGATGCACAGCTGGTCACTGGGATGCACAGCTGGTCACTGGGATGCACAGCTGGTCACTGGCATGCGTAGCTGGTCACTGGGATGCACACTGTATAGGCCCGTCCCCAATGGGCAGGCTGCTCTGCCCCTGTACTTCCCGCTGGCTTACCACTGGAAGTCCTAGGCCACCAGAGATCAGGGCCTGATATTTTGGGAATGATCCTGATCAGTGCCCCCCAAATAAACTCATCTGCCTCCAAATCTGGGTGTCATTTCAGCATTTCTGCTTGCATCATGAGCCATGTGTAAAATTCTTTGGTTCCATTGTTCACAATATTCTCAGGCTTTCCGCCCTTTATAGCAAGTCGTCCCTCCCAAGTGTTACAGATGTCTCCTCTGCTTGCTTTTTAGATGTTTCCAGGCCTTTACTTTTAACATGGAGATTTCTGCCCTTCTTTTCCTCTGTGCTTCCCATGGCCCTCCTCCCCGAAGCCGGGCACGTGCTGCGCGTGAGCTCGGTGGCCGTGTGTCTCACGCGTTAGCCAAGTGAGCTCGGTGGCCGTGTGTCTCATGCGTTAGCCAAGTGAGCTCGGTGGCCATGTGTCTCATGCGTTGCCAGTCCAGCAGCAGCTCACGCGCTCAGCTCTCGTCTGCCCCCAGGCTCCTTCCCTGTCCAGGTCAGGGAGCTGTCCCCCAGGGCTGCCGCTGGTGGAAGTCTCCATCGCCTGCTACATTCAGATCCACTCAGCACGACGTCCTTGCTATGCGGTGCTGGACATTCATCCACTCAGTTATTCATTACCATTTTAAAACGTCTCCCTTGACATTCCCGTCCCTGTACGCACACCGACACCATGACACACACATCCGTGTGGTTCTCGCTGCTGCTCCGCTGAGCCGCGTCCTGCGCTGGCCCAGCCGTGGCCACGAGGCTTTCACAGCGCGATTCCACCACTGCTCTCCTTGCTCGGACTGCACGCACGTTAGAGGCACACCCAGGACGGTGAGAAGGTATCCCTCAGGGATACACACTCCTTGGGTCACTCCTGTCCATCGGTTCCACGCCCAAGGACGACATTCACAAATCCGGGGCTGTCATTGCACCCTTCAGCTTGACACAGAGTTCACATCAGTTGCAAAATGAACCTAAGCCAAGCACTGTAACCGACTTATATGCTGGGCAATTCCCCAAACAGTCCATCTGCCCAAAACAACGGCCCCAAGCTCACTTCTCTGTCCCCACGGCTGGTCCGCGTGGGCATTTGTGCCTGCCGGAGCCTGGCTGGCCACCTGCTGTGCTGTGCACACAGAACGCGGCGCCCAGCTCAGCGCCACCCTGGGACACCATCCAGAGCCCAGCCTCCCCGGCCTTCCTCTGCTCAGCGCTGCACACAGTATGCCTTGGCTCGTCATTTTCTCTTCCCGCCCTCCCCCCCCCACCCTGTTCGCCTTCCCACCGCACCTGGTCTCCTCCTTCCCATCATCCAACCTCCATCCTGCTCTTGTACACTGAATAGCACAGGAGCAAGTGTGAGGCGTGCAGCGGCCCGATCACTAAGCCCCGGCTCTGCCAGGGGCTGAGGTGCCTGTGGCCCTGCCCTGGCACAGCGTTCCCAGCATGTCCATTGCCTGCTCACCTCTACCCACACTGGGAAGCTCCCTGCATTCTGGGGTACAGGTCACATGGAGAGCTGCAGATCCGAGTCGGGCCTCCTGCAGATGGATCCACGGAACATGCTGGAAATATTGTAAGGCAAACCTGTGACCACCCGAGGTAAAGGAGGGACCTGGCACCTGAGCCTGGGCTGCGCCACTGCCCAGGGCCTCTCAGGAGCTCACCTCACCCAACCCCATCACCGGCACCTCCCACCCAGCCTGACTCAGCTTCCAGGGGTGCAAGTCACACCGAGGACCTGAAGACCCTGGGCCTCTGCTTGAGACCATTCACACCTCCAGTGTCCCCCAGGGTCACAAGGTGATGACTGGATTGCAGGCACCCTACTCACCAGTGGCTTCTCCACTGGTGATGGGTGTCACCAGGGATTCCAGCCACTGAATGTGCTGTAGAAGGCAGGGCTGGATGAAGGAGATCAGCGGCGTGCCGGGGAGGGTGCATGCGTCTTGCCTCTGGCCTGCCCTCCCTCTGCTTCCTGGTCACCCCACATTGCACGACATCTCCCATCTGATCCCTTCATCCCCTGTGCTGCAGGCTGCTGGCCACATGTGAGCTGAGACTAAGAGCTGCCAAACCTCCCCTCCCATGAGCTGTGGCTTCTAGGATGCCCTGCTGTGCAGGGACAGCGAAGTTCCCTGGTCACTACTGGTGACACTGGCCTTGAGCACTTAGGCGCCTTCCCTCAGCTTTCTGCACCATGAGGTTTGTAGCTTCACCCATCACGAGACCACAGGGATGCTGGCCTTGGGTCTCTGCCTGCCACTGTGACCTTCACGTCCCCACTCTGCGCTCTGAACTAATCGGCTGCCCGAACTAATCTGTGCCAACCGTGGTGGTGCCACCACAGGCTCTCTCTGTTGTAGAGAGGGAGTGGGCTTCCCATGAGCCCCTCCCAGTGCCCAGCGGGGCCCCCACACAATCTCAACTGAGGACAGCCAGCGAAAGATGCCCAGGAGGCACCCCACGGGCAAGGGCACCATGGGCATCATGTTGTGCTGGTCACTCCCTCAGGTGCATTAAGCAAATGAAGGAAAGTGAACACTCTCACTGGGAGGGCCTCACAGAGCACGTTCACTTCTGAAATCCTTCCCAACCCTGGGCCTGGGTACAGCACAGCTTGCCCTCTGCCTCCTCCAATCTCAGCAATTCAGAAACCAGAGCGGCAGCTCGCCGTGGTTCCCGGGGAGCATCCCTGCTGCACCCTCCGTCTCCCAAAGCCCGGTCCTCCCCCTCCCATGAGCTCCTCCCTTGGGCGGCGCTCTCTTCAGGAACACCCCCAGGGGCTGCCTGGGCTTCTTCCCAGGACCAGATTTTTACATTCCAGAGTTTCAAGCAATTTCTCCCAAACTAAATTCTAGCAATCTTCTTACTGGCTTAGAAGGTTTCTTGAGTCAATCTTATTGACCAGAGAAGTCTCTGAAAACCATCTCTCTCCTGTTTTATAAATAATCTTGCAAAACTACATACTGTTTGGGAAGGTTTAACCTGGATTGCGGGCCTCTTGAAGGCTTTGCCTACCTCTCGTTTCTTCTAAAAGATCTTTATGTTAATACTTTATTCTCTGAACTGTTCGCTCAAGTCTCCCGGTGTGTAATAACTGTTTGCCTGAAGGATAGCTGAGTGGGGAGTGGTATTCACCTGTGAGAATTGCAGAGCCCTCAATAGAAACGAGGTCTGGATGACCTCATCTGTTTAAATTCTCTGACATTCAAATAAAATTTGAAAACCAAATAGTAAAAAACAGGAAAATGTTCAGACTTGTCATAATACGGAAGATGCTTCATTTGTAATGAAATTTAAAGTTTTAGGAATGAGTTTTAACATTTGAACCGAAGTTTTAGAAACAGAAAGCTACAAACTTCATGGTGCAGAAAGCTGAGGGAAGTGGCCTAAGTGCTCAAGGTCAGTGTCACCAGGAGTGACCCATCACAAGATCACAGGTATATGATGTACTGTGCTAAGGGGAAGAGTCCATGCCTGCAGCCCTCTTGCCAAAGTCAAAAGTGCTAGCCCAATCCAAGAAAACAAATTCAAAAGGAGGGACGCACTCCACAAGAGCAGCTGGCAGGCTGAAGAAGCATCGAAGTCACGAGAAACAGAGAAAGGCCGAGAAAGGGCTGGGGAGGCGGGCGGGAGCGCAAAGCGCGGCAGGCTGCAGCGTGACCCTGGATCCAACGGCTGAGCCAGAGGGGCATTAGTGTAAAAACAAGTGGATCAGAATCACAGACCGTACTGATAGTGTCATGTCTGTGTTTAATTGTTTAGTCTTGACAAATGTGCTATGATCAGCAAGATACACACGGGGAGCCGGGTCCGGGCTGCGGGTGCTCGGCACGACCCAGACGCTGCTCCACGCGCCCAAGATTCTTCACAGCTTGAAAGTTTTCCCAAAACTCAATCTATGTGTTATCCCTAATGAGATGAACTGCTGGTACTATTCCTGAATACCTCCAAGCAATGCACTGTGCCTGTAGATACGATACAGGTGCTCCTCGCTGCCTGCATTATAATTCCTGAAGTCATTTTATCTTTCTTTCACCAATTTGATGTTGCTGTGGTTATTGCGTGAACCAAAATATGGAAGACAGTGTCTTCTCCCAGCACAAAGCCTCTCCTCCTAGTGATGACTTATGCCTTACCTTCACATACTGATAGTGTATCTACAGATCCCAAGGCCCTGTATGACTTTTATGAAAGTGTTCTTTAGAAAATAATTAAGAAATCCAGGTAAGGAGGGATTAAAATGTTTAACTGCTGAAATACACTGGTAAATTGGGTGATTTACATTGCCAGGGTAAATAGGTACACACATCATTAGCAAATAAAGAACTTTCCAGACAGCCCACTGGCCATCTGTCTAAGTGCTGGCTAACAGTGCAGAATGACCACGAGGAGCGGCCGGGCCGCACGGGCGCACGAGATCGCTGGCTGTGGGCTATCTGTAGCTACCTCAGCCTCTGACTAAACAAAACAAGGATTTCATCAACATGTGTTTAAAGTATACACACTGCAAATTTAACATTGCAAACAAAACATTGTACTTTTCAGTGTTGCTCCTAACAGAGGAATTCTCTGACATTTAAATAAAATTTGAAAACAAAATAGTAAAAAACAGGGAAAGAGACAGCAGTAAGAGTCCAGTTACCAATTTTGCAGCTAAAAATGAATGTGAAGTAGAAATAGTGAAAGAGTCAAATATATCACTTTAGGTAATTTGTTTATAGTGCCCTAGTATCTTAGGTTATAAGGACTTTATTATATAAAAACTATCAAAAGAGAATCCTGGGAAAGTCGAGGCCAGGAGCTGGGCTGAGCAGCCAGGGAGCACACTGGGGGCCGGCAGCGGGCGGCATGACACCAGCCAGGACAGACGTGGCTCCTCCTTCACAGAGCCAGAGTCAGCGCCAGAAATGAGCGCGTGGTCAGCCGATCTCCTTCCACTACAACACTGAACCTGGGCCCGTCGCCTGGTGGTGCCTTAAGGGGTGCAGGTGGGAGCAGGGGTTCAGAATTTCCTCAGAAACGTCTGTGCGCTGTATGGTGTCGCTGGAGCCAAAATCGTTCCAAGTCCAGTCCATTAGCGAACTACAAAGAAGAAACAGGGAGAAGCGAATCAGCAAGCTTGACAGGTACAGCCTTGATCAAAACACACCAACCCCAAGCATGCAAATCGCAATTTTAAGTAAAGCACATATTCAACATCCACCCAGTATTTATGTAAGATTTATTATGTGGCTGGTATGGTGCTAAGCATGGGTGAGACACAGGGAGGGCCAGGACATCCAAGCTGCCTGAGCAGAAAGCCAGGGTGGAAGTGGCTGTTTGAGGACTGTCCTGGGTTCAAATAAAACTGCAAACTTAACGCTGCAACCTGCCCTGCCCAACTTCAGCTCTAGTGCCGGCCCTGGGTATCAAGTACAACTGAAGCCATCTTGCTTCTAGACTGCTAATGGCTGGGTCTGCATCCCAAAAATGAAAAAAAAAAAAAAAAAAAAAAGGAGGGTAGTTGTGGTAACGATGGTGGCGGTGGCGGTGGCGGTGGCGGTGGTGCTAACCATGATAGCCAAGCTACCATTTATTTCCCACTAACCCTAATCTTATACCTAAGCACTAGATTCAGCTGTAGATGACAAAGCTAGGGTCACAAAGGGGGAGTAACTGCCCAGCCAGGACGTAAAAGAGCCTGCTTTCAAATCACAGCTGCCAACATGCAAATGAGGCCACCCCAGGAAACAGGGCGACCAGGATAGCAGGGGTGTGAGGAGGCCCAGTGTCCTTCGGGAGGCTGAAACACAGCTGACATCCAAGCGTGCCTGCGGCCCAGTGGCTTGGAGCCCTCCGTCGTGCCTGGAGGCCTCCGTCGCGCCTGGAGCCCTCCGTCGCACCTGGAGCCCTCCGTCGCGCCTGGAGCCCTCTGTCCAGCCTGGACGCCTCTGTCCTGCAAGGCTCTCTCTTCGCAGTGATGATGGCCCGGCCCCGCTGCAGCTCTGGGAGGGTCCAGCTCCTCTCCAATGCCCAACCACGCTGGCTGCTGCCACACCCTTGGCACTGACCCTGACCCAGTGCGGGCCCGGCCTCCCTGAGCTCTGCACACCTGCCATCTCTCACGTCCTGCGCCTCCAAGGTGCCTGCAAGCAAGGCAGGCGTGCCTCGAGCGGTGCTTTCAGCAGCACACAGCTTGCTCTCTTTACACAGAACTGGATCCGAAACAAAATGAAATGGAAAGAAAGGGCCGCAAAGACAGCTGAGCAGAGCATCAGCCTCTCTGAGGTGAAAGCCTACTTGGATCCTCAGGATGAGACCCCCAGGGGACAGAAAGGAGTGCAGAGGTGGCACAGACCGACGCCAGCTCCCTGTGGTGCATGCAACCACCGTGCACCCCGCGGGCGCTGATCAAAGCAACACAAGCCTACGGGGAACAGAAGCTGAGTTTTTTAGAAATACATGGCAATGATATCCACTGCTTATTCATCATCACGGGTGAATATATGAAGCTGTGTAGAAAAATACACAATACCTCTTGTTCCTTGGGTCAGGGCGCTAGCTTCCTCTAATCTTAAAGAGAAATTAAAGAAGAGGCAGATGTTCAGAGTACAGAGAACATATTCTCATTCCCCACAATGCGATGAGCAGTACTAACACACATGCACTGCGGATCTAAAGCCCGAGGGAGGCCACGGCGCGCGCACTGCAGCCCGTGTGCAGGGCAGGCCTGGGGAGCCCACGCGTGCGCAGCGACCAGCAGAGCGCTTGGGAAGCCTGCCCTCGTACGCGGGTCTCGCTTTAAAATCCCTGTGAGAGAGGCCCACGCACGCGCACTGTGCGGCCTCTCAGGCGCAGTGTGCACTCACCCAGGGCCTCTAACTGACAGCGCGGCCGGAACCCACTCACTGAATCCCCTGCAGGCAGTCACCGCTCCTGCGAGTAGGCGCCTGCTCGCCACTCATTTTTCTAAGACCCTATCGAAATGCCAGCCGTGGTGGCACGCACTGGGAATGCCAGCCCTCGGGAGGCAGAGGCAGGAGGGTCACTGAGTGTTCAAGGCCAGCCTGGGCTACTCAGGGAGTTCAAGGCCAACCTGAACTGCACGGCCAGACTCTGTCTCACAAAACGAAACATCACAGAACTCTACCTTTGTGACTACAGAACCTCCATGAACTCACTTGAAGGATAGTTTTTGGGAAGAAATTAAAAATCTCCACGAAGCACAACTAAAAATAAAAGCTAAGGTTACTCTTACCACGTGAGCAGCAATTTCAAGAAACGTGTACCACAAATAAAATGTTCTTTCTAGCTCACTGAAGGGATGTAGTACATAGGTTGAGTCGGGCAAGCAGAGGTACAAATCTCGTATTTTTCATAAAACATGCAGATAGCTGGAGGACTAAACATCCCATAATCCTTCTTACTTTTTCGTACAGTCTTTGCTTGACTGGATACCATATCGACAGCTTCTGCAGGTAGGCCAACATACACTCCGCCATAGTTTCTATGAGACAAATCACAGAGACAAGTGCAGCATTTCCAATAATTATATGATTATTAACACACTGCATGATCTTTCAGAGTTGAGTTCAAAATATCTTTGTCCTGGAAATGTTCTGTTTTGTTGTTTTGAGACAAGGTCTCACCGTGTAGTTCAGGCTGGCCTTGAACTCACTGTGCAGCCCAGGCTGGCCTCAAACTCACAGTGGTTCTCCTGCTCTGCCTCTCCAGTACTGGAATGACAGGCGTGTGCCACCACACCACCCAGTTTAGGGGATAGACATTAAAAATACACTGTATAAGAAAAAAAAAGCTGTATTGAATTCTTAGACTTCTCAGGTATCCAACTTGCAACGAGAAAGAAGTTGGACTGTTTTAAGCCAGCATGTTGATCACCAGGGTAGAGTGACTCGTCATGGGAAATCAGTAATATTTTTCAAGACTTCTCAGTGGCCACCAGGGTGTTAGCTGTCACGGGTACATAAAGACACATTTCTCAAGGGCGACAGACAGATGCAATGAGGGGAGCAGAGTCAGGGAGCGCAGCGCACAGAGCAGGAGGCCGAAGAGGCTGCAGGACGAGGGGCATTCCCTGAGAGAGCGAGCGGCCCAAGCTGCAAGGGCGCTGCACAGGACGAAGCCCAAGCTCAGCCGAGAAGCACAGACTGGACCCTCGGCGAGTTCTCCCGGCCTCACCCTCCTCCTGGGTTCTCTGGGCCAAAAGCCCTCCTGGCAGAATCTGCATCACTGGCAATGTACCACGGTGTGGGAAAGCCACAGGTGGGGCCACAGTCACTCAAGGTAAAGCCAGCAGCAATACCACACCTACCTCCTCTTGTCATCTTCTGTTATCGATTCTTCTGTCCTAAAAAATCAAAACTATATGTGAGAAGCCACTTGGTGACAAAGACAGAGAAAAAGGGGATCAATCACTGGGAGAAAGCCGGTTGTGTCGAATTCACAGGTTTCTACCAAGCGTCTCCACAGCACAGTACTCCAGCTCACCAAATCACGCCAACCCAGAAAGCACCCAAAAGACTCCCTACTGAGCCAAAGAAAACTCTGGGGGCAGCCAAGAGTGGGAAGGGCATGTAAGCCAGGCGCCAGGACCCAGGTTCTCCCTGACCATACCGAGCATGCCCCGGACGCCCAGCTGTGGGCAGCAGGCTGCTTATGCCTCCTCTGTCAACTACTGGTCAACCAGACGGCCCCCAAGGTCCTTCCCAGTGCTTACAGACTTTGATTTTGGGTCTCTTGCGCCAGTTCAGTGGCACAACTACAGGTAGTGACAGATTTCTTTAGTGTGTAAAGAGCAACGCCGTCTTGATTTCCTTTTGCCTGAAGCCACGAGCCACTTAACACACATTCTATCACATCGAGGGGAGCTATGTTTTAAAGGACGCTCCTGCAGGAAAAACTACGCACAGGCCTTCCCTGCCTGCTCAAATTCCTTGGCATATTTCTAAGAGGACCAGGAAACCTTGTTTAGAGCCCTTGTTAGCATGCATGGTACTTTTCTGAAGGTAAAAGATGAGCAGACCGAGGCCCAAAGGGGTCCAGCTGAGCCCAACGCGCAGCCCCAAGGCTTCCGTCCAGAGGCAAGCAGACCACACGCACTGGCTCTCTCAACTCCAGAGGCACCGGGGCTCTGCCCCGGTGGGAGCCGTGAACACTGCACACGCCACTGCCCACTGCAGCTAACGTGGCTTCCTGCAATACCGGCAGGGACAGGGTCATACAGAAGAGGCACGACAGCTGCCTGGCACACACCGGGCGCCAGAACCGCACAGCTCTGGTGGGTGTGGACTCCACCGTGAGACCAATTTACCCGCGCTGAGCACAGAACGGACACTTGCCAGAGGATTACCAACTGCATGCAGCTCTTGCTACAGTGAGGCTGCTCTTTAATTCAGAAATGTCAAAGCCACCCCACGTGCGAGGTGGGGCCCTGCTCGTTGATGTGTACAAGGACGCGTTGCTTTCACTTTTAGTTAAAATGGATTTATACCCCCTTGCTGTAGGCAATGGGAGAACGACAGTGACAAGCTTGTCCAAGAAGAGACCAGCGCTTTCTCTGGTCCTGAGTGACAGACACTGCAACTAACTTGTTTCCAAGCTAAATACAACCAGTAGCCTTGGACACGCACAGGACACACTCGCATCGGCCACAGCGACCTCACACCCACATTCATGCTTGTTCTCTTAGTTCTTTTCCCTTTTATCTAGTTCTACTGAAAAATAAGAATTTAGCTTCCCAAATACAAGAAAATAAAAATTTATTTCAAGGCTATTATTTTAATTATCCAATAGACTATGAAACCCAATCTGGCCAAGCATGGTGACACACACATGTAATCCCAGCACTTGGGAGGCTGAGGCAAGAGGATTGCCGTGAGTGTGAGGCAAGCATGGGCTACCTAAGCAAGTTCAAAGCCCATCCGGACTAGATAGTGAGACCCTGTCTCAAAAAAAAAGATAATAATCACTAACCGTACACTTTTAACAGGCAAGAAATGATAATGTAGCTGTCCTATTTAATGAATAAGCTTCAGATATAATACATCTCCACAACTATCACTTATACTGCTGCGAGAATGTCCCTTCTTCTGTCCCTTCAGGTAAGTCACAGAGCCCCTCTGGAAATCCGCCCCATGGACGAGGCTGCCCCTCTGTCCAATCCTTCCAGACAGCGTTATTCCTCATCTAAAACAAGACCAGAACTTCAGCATCAGCTTCACTCCAGTTCCCTGGGTCAGCGCTCTTCCACACAGCAGCTTGGAGAGCTCAGGCCAAGGAGGGGGTGCAGACACATACAGAATGACTGAACAAGCAAAACCCACAGCAAAGCCACCCCTCAAACCCCACCCGTCGGACACTGGTGCCCACATCCAGGGCCACGATGCTGAAGTCCGAGACAGCCCCAGTGGGAGGTCGGCAGGGCGCCTTCTCCTGAGGAGGAGGCACCCCAGACCACTCCTGCCTAAGCTTTGAGCACCCCGTCTCACAGCCAGCACTGGCTAAAGCCATTGCTACTTTTAACCCTGTGAGACAGCTGCTGGCTTCATCTCAAAATGACAATCTGAGGCTCAGGAAGGTTAGTACCATGGTCAAGGCTACAAAAACTAATAAAACCAGAACTGAAAGCCCAACTCCAGACCCTGCCTACTGAGCAGCAGGCCCGAGATGCTGCGCATTAGGGACACCCACCTTCCCTGGCTCTGCAGTGTGTCTCAGGCACTGAGGACAGAACAGGCCCAGCCCACAAACCTCTCAGGGCCTCATGGAGCTTGGGATATGGTGCTGCTGAGGCACCTGCAGCTCTAGGAGGGGGGCAGCCACTGCTGAGACTGCAACACTGTCTCTGAAACCAGTGAAAAGACCAGAAGTGACAGCAGCAGGCAGAGCCACAGTGTCCCCAGCCACAGAGGATGGAGACCTGGGAGGCCCCCCTGGGGGCAGGCTGCAGGAGCCTGGCTTCCTCAGGACCCGGCATGAGATGACTTCACCCCTCTCAGCATGCTCCCCAGGACAGCAGAGCACACACTGAATCATCCCGGGCTGGAGAAGGCGGAGTGAAGATGCGGGCTTCACCGCGCAGACCCGGCAAGGGCTGGGAGGCCCACGGCAGGCGTGGTGCTCTTGGGGAATTAACTGGTCCCCAATCTCCACGGTCAGCTCACCGGGAGCCTCGTCCCAGGGAGAGGAGCAAGACAGGCTTCCCACCGCATCACAGTCCCTGGGGACCAGGGAGGGGCCAGGGCCAACCCCCAGCAACCCAAAGCAGAGGCGCTCAGTGTGAGACAGGGAAAGCTAAGTTCCCGGGTTCCCTCCCAGCTCCACTGCCCGGGGCTCCTGAGCCTTCTCCAGCCAAGCTGTCCTGGAGCCAGAGGCTGCCTCGTCAAGCAAAGCCCAGCACCAAACCCCAAGGTCAGGGCGCTCTGGAGGCAGCCACACAGGAAGCCAAGACTAAAGGGGCGCCTGCTAGCAAAGAACAGCTGCTGGGTAGGAAGCTACCGACCGCCTCCTCCGAAGCCCGACCCCACTGACCTGTGCTGCTGGGGCTGGGACCCTGAGGACACCTCCGCCCGTGTCAGCACGCTGGGGCCAGTCCCACCAGCCAGAGAAGAGGGCGAGACCAGCTGCCCAGGGAGCAGGAGGACAGCTCCTCTCCCCACTCCACTCCCCACTCCACGGCACCATTCCATCCCCGCTGCGCTCCCAGGACAGTCCCTTGTCCTTTCCAGGTCACTGCAGCTCAGGCAGGAGGTGGTGTCACCAGAGTCAGCGCCTTGGGGCCACGTGCCCCTTCTGCCAGCACTAGCAGGCGACACGGTCCACCCAGAAGGTCCACCCGGAGCCCGTGTCCCAGCTTCTAGACACTCCCTCCTCTACTCCAGTACCACCACCTCCCGCCTTGGCTGCTCCGGGCTAGCAGTGAGTTACTTCCCGCTATTCCTCTCGTACTTCTGTCTTCTACATTTCTAACCCTCCGCGATGTGCTTGACCAACTCCTGACAGCTCAGGGTGTGGGATGCGGCAACGGGACCCAGGAGGATGAGTCAGGAGGATCGAGAGTCCAAGGCCAGCAGGGGCTGCAGTGAGTTCATAGCTGGCCTGTGGAGACCCTGTTTCAAAAACCAAATACAGAAATAAGGCCGGTGCAGTTTCTCCTCCCTGATGAGCTCCTGCCTACTACACTACCGCAGAGCAGGGGCGGGCTGCCCTCTCGGCCCCTGGATTGCCACAGCTCCCTGCCACGTGCGGTCACAGCAGGGTCACAGGCGTGCTGGACTGTACAGTGGGCCGTGTGCACCAGTGGGATCTCAGCCCTGAGGAACAGGAGCTCAGAGGACAGGATGCAGGGTGTCCACAGAGCAAAGTGAGACCAGGGTGGACACTGGGCCACACACACTGCGGCTAGCCACCCCAGGCACCAGGGATGCAGGCCTTGCCAGCCCCAGGGTTTCCTCACAGGAGTGGGAGGTGGGTTCGGAGGGCTTTGGGGAGGCAGGCTTTTGGGAACAGGGTCTCCATCCCTCCCACTCCATGCGAGACCTTCGTCCTCGGGTCTGGACACTGGGATATGGGCTGTGCCTTTCACACCTTGGTGACCCAGGTTAGGGTCTGCCCCAGACCTGAGTTTGCCTCCTTTAGACATACAGAAATTGTACGTTCTGTGTATTTTACCATAATAAACAACTGAACAAGAGAAGGGGAGAAACAAGGAATGAAGCTGTGCTCCGTGCCTGTGTCAGCTTCCCACAGGATGGGATCATCACACACTAACGAGACGCAGGGACGTGGACAGAAGAGAAATGTATCTAGAGAAGGCCGAAAGCGAACGCTCAGACCGTCCTGGCGCAAGCTGGGAGGTGTCCCGGATTCGTGCTCTGCGCCTTTCTCTCTGCTATGCAGGGCTAGGGTGCCTGCCCACCTGGGCACTGCGCCCTACACCTGCCCTCTGCACCTGCAGGTTGTGCCCAGTGGGAGAGAAACACAGAGGGAACCCCCTGTAGGCTGCAGAACCCCCACCACCAACCCACAGAGACCACCTTGGAGCTACTCAGGGACCTCAACTGGCAGGCACATTCCTAGGGTGCTCAGCACTTAGACGAGGGGCTAGGCAAGCCCCTCCATCCCAGGTTTCAGGATTCTTCCTTCCTGTCCTGGCAGCAGGGGGCCCTGCCTGGCTCCCCTTGTTCCTCTGCACGCTCATGTCCCAGTTTCATTTGATGGTTCGGGCTGCACCTGATCCGCCTAAATTACGAGGTCCTGGTGAGGGTCTTCTGGGCCCGTTTGGCCTGCACCCTCAGCCCTTCCCAGGAGCAGATGACAAGACCCTTGGCTGGATGGCAACAGA